CAGAGATATTTACGTTTAAAGTTGAGGTACAAACTTTTTAACATGCTTAAATGCAAATATCTTGGGATCCACTGATCCGTTTTTTATAAATTTAGGCTCTTCAGAAAGCCCTTGATCTGGTCTATATGAGCGAAAAAAGAGCTTGCCAATTGGATCATTAGATCTGGAGATATTTACGTTTAAAATTGAGATACAAATTTTTAATATATATAGTAAGTGCTAAGAATTATATTAATTTAAAAGAAATATTTACCAACTTATAGTATAATAACATTAAATAAAAGTTTTTTAATACTCACCCCCAATTTACTGTATATTATATAGTATTTTGTATAATAAAAATGTAACAAAATCAATATTTTAATTAAAGGTAGACAAATCAGCCCATATGTAGAGTCAAAGAGCTTAAGGCTAGACTTGTATTATTAGAACAGGGTTTAGCAGTAGATGGGATGGTATTATCATTTGATCAGATTAATGGTAATAATGAGAAAATAGTCGATTTCTTAAATGAAGCATATAAAAAAAGCATTAACAATGAGATTAAAAAGAGGAGGTAGAAAAAGAAGTAGAGAAATTAAAGAGGTACTTGTAATTTTTCAAAATATGACTAAAATTTTTGAAGTTATGGGTATATTAATTTCAGAGCAAGATAAGCAAAATTTATTACAATTTTATGAGGTTAGTTCTGAGAAAATAAAATCAGCATCTTGCGTCTTATCAAAGCAACTGCAGTTAATACATCCAAATTAATATGTAATTTTAAAACTGTGAAGATTCTTTACGATCAGAGTCATATGATATGAAGTAAGGAGTTGAAGCAACAGTTATCATCATCTACACATATATTTACATCAGATCAAACTTTAAAAGAACAGGATCCATCTTCAAATATCACATAAAATATAGTTTGCATAACTTTAGAAAGCTAATAAGTTTAATTAAAAAGCAATTTTATATTGATACTACTTGACAAGAGAATTGATAATCTTGTTGCTATAGATTATAAAAGATCTGTTTAATTTTTTTTAGTCCCGATGTGGTTACGATATCAAATAAAATGTCAAATATTTTGTAATATTAATTCAATGTTAATATGACATCACTACAATGTAGTTATGATATCAAATAAAATGTCAAATATTTTTGCAATATTAATTCGATGTTAATATGATATCACTACGATGTGGTTACGATATCAAATAAAATGTCAAATATTTTGTAATATTAATTCAATGTTAATACAATATCATTACGACATAGTTATGATATCAAATAAATGTCAAATATTTTTGTATTATTAATTCAATGTTAATATGACATCACTACGATATGGTTACGTGATAATATTTATATTGCATAATAATTGCAATGATATCGCAGAGATATTGAACTAATCAATGTCGAATAAATACAGTTACGACTAACTTAATGACGTTAAATCTATTTTTTAAAATATCGTAATGATATCGTAATAATATCATTGCAATATCTAATCAATATCGATTGTAAACTCCAAGTTTCAGCAGTTATATATATTTAGATTATAAACTTATACACTACCCTACAAAAAGTATTCAGATTTTATAAATTTTACTTNATTCGATGTTAATATGATATCACTACGATGTGGTTACGATATCAAATAAAATGTCAAATATTTTGTAATATTAATTCAATGTTAATACAATATCATTACGACATAGTTATGATATCAAATAAATGTCAAATATTTTTGTATTATTAATTCAATGTTAATATGACATCACTACGATATGGTTACGTGATAATATTTATATTGCATAATAATTGCAATGATATCGCAGAGATATTGAACTAATCAATGTCGAATAAATACAGTTACGACTAACTTAATGACGTTAAATCTATTTTTTAAAATATCGTAATGATATCGTAATAATATCATTGCAATATCTAATCAATATCGATTGTAAACTCCAAGTTTCAGCAGTTATATATATTTAGATTATAAACTTATACACTACCCTACAAAAAGTATTCAGATTTTATAAATTTTACTAAGTAAAACAAAGTAAAATTTATAAAATCCGAATACTTTTTGTAGGGTAGTGTATACATAATACTTTAATTCAATTATTATAATAATGAGTATAGAAGGTATTCAATATTTTGACAGTTCAACAGAAAGTACATTTACCTTTCATACACATATTTTGAGTTTATCTGATAACATTCCAGCATTTGCTAAAGTTATATGTATAATAGAGCATAACTTATATAAGGCTTGTCGATTTTGCACTATTAATGGAGTATATTGTCAAGAAAATTGACATGTATATTTTTCACACAAATCTGCTAATAGGAGGTATGATCCTAAAAACCTTCCATTATGAACACATGAAGATTATATTTATGATGTTATAGCCATAAAACATGTAAATGGAACTTTATATAGACAAAAAGTGTAAAAGAAAGGTGAGATATAAATTGTTTGTAAACTAAATAAAATTTGTTATTTATTTATTTGTTGTTTTTGTAGGTGTAAAAGGTCAAGCTTCATTTCCTATCAATATTATATATGAATTATTTGAAAACATTGCACTAGCAATACTTCGCTATTAGTTTAGTACTTTTTTTAAAAAAGATTTTGGCTCTGAATGTGTACTTTTTAAAAGTATTTGGAATGAAATTAAAATTATAATGGAAAAAAATCAAAAGAACATGCCACTTGATTCTGATCATCCACCTATTGACATTTAAAAACATTTTGCAGGATTCAAAGTAAAGGATTGGACAAATTGGGTGATATTGTATTCACTTTCACTCTTACAGAATTATTTTCCTGAAAGGTAAACTTGCTTGAAACATATACATAATGTTACTAAGTAATATTTATTATTAATTTAAATTTTAATATTTTTAGGTATTTAAATGGATAGGCAAAATTTGTACAAGCTGTAAAATTTTGTCTTAAAAAAAATATTAGTATATCAAAATTGACAGAAATAAATAGATTATTTTGTGAATTTGTTACATATTATAAAAGGTATATTTCATAAATAGTTTTTGCAATCAATTCTTTATTTAACTTATTAAATATAATTTAATTTTATTAGAAAGTATATTCAGAATGATTTCAGATGATTTTCAGCAGCACTAATTTTTTATCATTATTTACTGCATATTTCAACCTCCATTTGTAATACTGGGCGTGCATAGGCAACTTGGTAGTACTTAATGGAGAAATTATGTGTGATGCTAGTGCTATTAGTGCATCACTATACAAACCTTTAAAACCAAATTACTCTATAGTTCAATTCTCTCATCTTCAGTACAAAGCTGAAATAAACCAGAAAGTTTTTGGAAACAAGTTGAGAAAACTTAGTACAGCAGAGAGAACTGAAGAAGAGTTGTACTCACTATCATGCAAGTATTGCATAAATAAAACTGAGTTACAACATCTCAGAGCTTATTATGTAACAGTATTGAATAAATCTGCAGACTAACTTATGGTGAGTTTATGATGAATTACCATGATGTTCCAATTTTAATCTTTAAAAACTTTAGTTTTCTAACATTTGCTTAGCTAATCACAGATTCCATACAGAAGTATGGGAAGTTTCAAACAAAGTATGGACTGATTATTAATTCAAAACTATCAAATCACAAGGTGATGTTGCTCGTAAAAATTTCTGCATTGCTGTATGTATATCAATAGTCAATTATTTTTCCAAAAATTTACCATTTTAATATTAGCTACTTGTTGATAAAAATGCTCATCGCCCAAATGCACCAATCATTCTGGAAGAAAGAGAGTTTTTTGGAGAGGTACAATATTTTTTTTCACACCAATATAATGGTCGCTAGTCCATGTTAGCATATGTGCAATGGGTGCGAAATCCTCAGCTTTCTGGACATGGTCCATTAAAGTTCCAAATTCTTGGTGTATTTGAAGTAATTAATATTAGTGCAATTGATAGAAATGTTGGATTTCTCAAGATGCCAAACAATGAATTGTATATTATTGATCGAGAAAATAGAGTAAAATTCAGATAATTATTAGATTGTTATTTAGATAAAATAATCAATTGAATTTATTAATTCGCGAAAGTTAAAAAAACTTTATTTTATGAATTATAGTTCATTACAGCGTTGCATTACATAAAAAAAAAAAACTGGACCCCCCAAACCCAGGCGTCAGTACGTCACTGACTAGTAAATTTTTATTTGCTTTTTTATTTTATTATATTTTTTGATTTATTCATATTTTTTTCCATTTTTCTTCCATTTTTTATCATGGTTAATTATAATGAAAGAATCCAGATTGCTACTCAACCGGTTACTATTCTAAAAAAATTCACTGAATACTATTTACGGAACCCAAACAAAATCACGAAATTATAACAGAAATATTATGGAGTATCATTTTTATAGGGTAGATTTTATATGCAATATATTACAATAATAAAATCACATGTAAGCATGAAAAATATAATGTATCAAGTTATATAAGCATATTACAAGAACTAATGGAAGATAGATAATATAATTGCTGAACTATAATTGATTCCTGGGTTTTTTTCTTGGTTTTCTTGATTTTTTTGATTTATTATTCTCCCCTTCTTTACCTACTTCTTTACTCGCTTCTTCACTTGCTTCTTCCTTCCTATTTCTTTTTGCAGTGCGTTTAAGCTTGTCTAGAAATTGTAGATGAGCTTCTTGAAAGACAGTTGATGCATTTTTGTAATCAATAATTCTGATGAGCTGTTTCGTGCTTGATCGATTCTTTAGATAATGTGTATGATCATTTGTGACATAAGATTCTTGAAATATATCAGCCAGATAGGCGACCAATAAACCAATAGAGCCAACTTTACATTTTTCAATTATCTTATCGATTATGGATTTATTTGATTTCTCATCATAAACAACTTCGTTTTTATTCTTGTAAAACATATGTGGATGGATCATACTAAGTGCCTGCGCCAAGTTTTTAACACCATAATATAATTTCACTTGAACAAAAACTGGAACCGTAACTTTCTTAAATTCAACAAAAAAAATGATATCAGGACCACAACGATTCTCTGGAAAATAAAATGTTGGACGCGTCTCAGGTGATTCATTAAAGAATTTATCCAATATGTAACCTTCAAATGCATTTGCTACTCATGGAACAGTAACATCAGAGGATTTGACAATCTTTGGTGATCCTTTACAGAAATTAGGCAAATTATATTTCTTAGTAACTTCAGCAAATACAGGCATATTTTTAATATCACTCTGCCCATTGAATATTCGCTCAAATTCATCAGGTAAATAAATTTGCCACAATGTTTTCCATGAACTATCATTATTGGCTATGGACATTATATTTAAAATTCCTTTTGGAAGACTATCATTATCCTTAAAGAAGTGAAACCAGCAGTGAAAGCAAAGGGTTCATCAACACAGGCGACTAAAGATTTCTTTCCTTCCAATGCAAGATGTAATAAATCTACATTCACACTTGAGATTCGCAACATCTCTTCATCTACACCTTTATATACTTGCTTTAGGTGATAAATAGTAGGTGGGTTTACAAATTGGAAACGCCTGAAACTACTTTCAACTAATGACCTTTGACTAATATCAGTGAACAAAAACGGCCCTCTGGAATAGTAATAGGCAAGTATTACGCTTTTATACAAATTAAGAATATTAGTTGACAGCACATGATTAAGTCTTTCCATCTTAATGATCCTACATAGCTGGTGATATAGTGATTGATCATTGTCACTAACCTTTGTTAAGACTTTCCAATGTACATTAATAACATCTTGAGCCAGAAGACCCATAATAATCTCTTCTACGCAGGTAATAATGGGATGAAATCGGCCACAAAAGTGTTTATGAAGACAGTTATATTTATTGTCTGTCAAACTCACAAGATTATTAACATAGTTCTTCACATGAGCAATATCCTGCCACCCTCCAAACTCTGTAAATTTAAATATCTCAGTTTCTGGTTTTAAAACTCCTGTAATAAGAACATTCTCAAGAGAAAGAAGTCTGAGTCCAGAACTACACGAAATGACACAATAATTGACCATTGTTACTGCTGGTTCTCTCAATGCTTGAATTATAGGAAATAAGAGTGAGCGTTTCTGTTCATCTGTTCGCGATTTAAACTTTCCCTTAAGTACCGTTTTGAGTACTTGAGTTTCATCAAGAATAATGATAAACGTTTTGTTATTATTTGGAATTTGTTAATATATTTTATCAATGAGAGTAATTACAGACTCTGGTGTGCAAGTATTGAGTTTCCACATAAAGGCAACAAACACATCATCATCATACTCATAAAGCTTTCCAAATATATCTTGACAAGTTTGTATTAGAAGCCAATGCTGTTTATTGAATGTAGTAGATGCATTCTTCAAACAATAGTCCAGTATAAGAAGTCAAGAGAGAATTGCAGAACGCATAATTCCTAATGCACTTTTGCAGTTTTGTTCAAAATCTTTTGTCATTTTTATTTCAAGATAAGTTTGGATTTTCTCGATATCAGCTGAACCTCCATTTCCTTTTCTAGACGTGACAAAATAAAGCCCCCAAGTCCTCATTTTTTCATATCCAGATGTTCCTAAAAAAATCAATAAATTGTTCTTGGCTTCTGCAATCGTGGACTGAACATTTGAAACGTGGGTAATTGGTTCATGGTTTTCATTACTTCTGGGGAGATTGTACTTTAAAAGTGTAGGGCGTCCACCCGTAAAGGAAGCAGGTACAATTGATTTAAGGTGTATTCGTAATTTGTATGATGGCAACGGATCATTTTTCCTTATGTATTTTTTGAGAAATTCACCGTGTTTGCTGTTGAGAAATTCTTTGAAAATAGTAGTCACTGAAAAGTTACAAACAGTAATAAAATGAATACTATTATCAAGAAATCTTTTTAGCTAATTACGGAAAAAAAATAATATACCTTGTGAAATGCCTTGCTGAGAAGGACCTATTTTTAATGCGAAAAAAAGGAGATCAGATCAAACTCGATATTTTGTTACTGCAGTTTCCTTGTTCAAGAGGTAAAAAATTGGGAGACACTTACCAGTGGAGGTGGAAACAATGAAGACATGGATGTCCTGTATATTAGTTTCCTTAGCCTTAAAATAATCTTCAAGCGGAAATTGAGGGATCATCTTTTCGCCTCTGAGTTTATCTTTAATGTCACTTTTAGTAAATTCTTTAAGATTGTTTTCTTCTTCATAAACTTTCTTGCCGTCAACTTTCCAAAGATCCATTTTACCAGTATTTTGAACTATAACTTTTACTTCTTCTCTATGAAAGAGCTTCTCTTTGAAGTTTGAAACTGTAAATTTAGAAAATTCGATTACAACACCACTATCATCTTCATATGTTTCGCCAATGTTTTCAGTGAGACTTTTTTTAGAAGCTTGTCCTAGAATCAAACAATTAAGCGACAACATCATTTTGTTCTTGTAAAAGCGGTTAGTTTTTTTTTTAGAAAAAATTTGAGCAGAAAATTTGCTTAAGAAATGAGAAAGTTTGAGAGAAGTTTAAGGTATATATACTTTATATACTTTTCTGAATACATCGTGATTAATTATAAAAATGACCTTTATAAACTTCTTAATTGGTGACATGATAATAATATAATAGTATAAAAAAAGTTTATATAATGATATATATCATTATATAAACTTTTTTTTTTACTGTGCTTAAGCTATACTTATCAGTGAAATTGAATTTTTGAATTATGACAAACGTAATTAAAATGCTGTAATTTGCCGTAATTATATGTTTTATTAGTAGTAAACATTTGTACTGACTAAGGTTACTTGCCGAAACCTAGGGGTTTAGGTAAGATGGAGTTTCGCCGAAAAGCGAAATTCTGCCAAAACTATATTAAAGTTATATTAAAAAACTGGCGAAACTTTGGAGAAAGGTAAAACTGCTGAAACTTATTATAAATGCCGAAACTGCTAAAACTTTGCCAAAACTATAATAAATCTATAGTAAAATTTTGATGAAACTAATCGTAGGATTTTGAAGAGGTTTAGACAAGCAACCTTAGTATTGATGTAATTGTTTTTGGCTATGCCGTAATATTTTGACATTGACTTTTTAATTCTACTGAGAAGTATAGCTTAAGCATAGTAAAAAAGTTTATCGGCAAGCGAAAAAAAGTTCATACGATTTTATTGTTACTCAGATTGCATTCACGAGGTATTTATTAATTCTTTGGTTATACAACAACAATTAGTAGCCAATAAAATTAATTTTAAAATTATGTTATAATGATAATCTAGTATAATTAAGGCATTTTCTCTGATGTAAGATTTTATGTATACAACTTTTTTTTTCTTATTCTGACCTCAAGCCATTGTGCGTTTCCGAGCATGAACCTATCACAGTTTAAAAAGTGTGATGAAAAAATTATTAAAGTCTGGACGAGACACTTCACAATTAAAGGCTGTGACTGTGCATTTGCAAAGGAGTGATTCATAGCTTGTAAAGCTAATCTCTTTTTTATTCAGAAATTTCGAGGACCTTATTAGGCGGGAACATACTTTTGGTGAGTTTTAAAAAAATTACATTTTGCAAATCTATATAAAATGTAAATCTATATAAAATTACATTTTATAAGATTACAAAAATACTATAATATATAAACCTTTGTGGGCCTTATAAGTTTATGTAAATCTGATATTATATATAGATAAATATCTATAAAAAAAAGAATTTCAAAAAAATATATTCTATATTAATTTACAATTAAATTTATATAAAGCTTATATTTTAAAAAGTTTTTTAATTTGTTTATAATGATAAAAATAGAGAATTTTTAGTATTAAAACTTAATATAATTATGTATAAAAAAATCCTAAAAAAAAAATCTATATAATTACTTTTTCTATATAAATTTAATATAAAATTCCCCTTTATAAGCACACCATATTTTGGCCCAATGTACTAATTAATATATTAGAAAAACCTTCTCTATAGTTACAACATATGATTTTTTTTATAATCACACCTTTTTTCAGTCCTGAGGGATGCGACTATAAAGGGAGTAGACTGTATTACATTATAATACTAAAATTTCTATTTAAACAGTATACTTCTGCTGCATATGGATGAATTCTTTTTTTTTATTATTTATGGATAAAGATTTCTTTAGCATTCTGAATGCCTATACATTTTTTAATTTTATTCTATTGTTATCTAGGAAATTATTTATTTATTTAATTGTTTGGTGCATTTTTAATATTATAATATATATAAAAATTTATCATCCATTATTTTTTCACAAGAATAAAAGAAGAAAAAGGAATAATTAATAAATAGGTTAAAATTACATTTTGTTATTATCAGCAATAAAATCTTAAAATATGCTTTAATAATATCAAGCTTAACTTTTTTCATAAATTTCTTTCCTTCTTTGCATATGGTTGAACCTTTTTTGTAATCAGCCAATTGTTCTGTTCTTACTAAATTAAACCAAATTTCAAAATTGGTGCCAACTTTCATTTTACTTTTAAAGAATGTGGAAGTAATTTTTTCAAATACATCTAAGAGAACTCAATTGCTATTGAATACTTGTAATAATCTGTATATTTTTGGCAAGATCTGGAAAATTAAATCTAAATCTCCAAGATTTATGTTAGGATATTCTTCTATTATTTTTTTCTTGACTTATAAACGGGTTGTCTCTCCTTTATTTCATTTAAGATTTGCAGAACAGAATGCCTGCAAAGCAGATATATGATTTCCAGACTTCCACATAAAAGCATAGATCTTTACATTGCAAGATATCTTTGGTGACTTAACTTTTTGTACTTCCTGCAACAGAATTGAAAATATTTTCTACTAATTTATGTAATACATATTTAATATTATTTTCGTCATTAGCTATAAATGAAACTTTAATATAATTTAAGGAAGTAATATCTATACATAAAACTGAAATTGGTTAATTTCAACCTCTGAAATGGTCAAAATGGTCAAAATGATTTTGACTTGGACCTCTCCAAAAGTCAAAATAGTCAAAATTATGTCATACTTTACTAAAAATAGCCAATTTTTTGAAATATTTTTATAGATCTAGATACAATGGCTTTCAAAACAATTGTGCAATTATTTTGTAAAATTTTTAAAATATATCAAGATATATTTGATGTATTTTTGAGATTAAAATATTAAAAATAATAACAAAAATATAATAAAAACATTTTGATATATTAAATGTATTTTTGTAGTATTTTAAAATTATTACAAAATCATTTCAAAAAATTGGCCATTTTTAGTAAAATAGACATATAATTTTATGGTAAACAATAATATTAAAATTTAAAGTTAACAAACTCCGCATCCAGTGATTCGATTTTTATGATCTTTACATGGTTGGATTCAGCTCATCAAGAGGATTCCAATGATATATATTTCATATTTGTAGCATCAATATTGACAGAGTTATTCACGTTCAAAATTCAAAGTTAACAATCTCTGCATCCAGTGATTCAAATTTTTATGATCTTTATGCAGTTGGATTTAGCTCATCAAGAGGATTCCAATGATATGTATTTCGTATCTGTAGCATCAATATTAACAAAGTTATTCACGTTTAAAATTTTATATTAAATTATAATTATAAAAATCACATAACTATAATGTAATTTTGACCATTTCGACTTTTAATTTTGAAATATTTCTACTTTTGGGCTTTAATTTCGACTTCATGTATAGTAATATCTGTTAAAATTAAATTATTTGCAAAGTTGTTAATTTGTTAGAAGCCTTTTAAAAATAAAAATTCTGAATCATTTATTAGATGATTTATAATGACTTGTCTGTACAATTCATTTCAGAAGAAAATCTTTTATCACGAATTGGAGAACAAGTTGGCAATTTATAAATAAATTGCAATATTTTGTGTAGATCTTTATTAAGATTTACAGTTTTGTCATTAATATTATACTTTTTTTTTATTCTTTTTATGATTTTTTCCATCACTTTTGTTATCTAATAATCCTTCTTCAAATTTTTCAAATCCTGGATTTTCTTTGACAGGTCCCAGATTTTCTTCATCAGGTAGCTTCTCAGATAGTCCCTTGGGCGGTCTCTCAAATAATCTCAGATTTTCTTTAACAGGTAACAATTCTCCTTTATAAAGTTTCTTTTTACACTTTCTATATTAAACCTAATATTTAAACTTCTGGCTCTCTTCATTATTTGGTAATCAATTACCAGGACCCCGGAAAATACTTATATAGGTAAGGTCCCAAAAATATTTTTTATTAGTAGCTCTAAGCATAGGTTTTTACTATAATCGATAAGCATTGTTGATATCTAACCTTAAAAATTATATAAAAATAAGCAAATCAATCTTCTAACCTAATTAAATTTTTATTATAACACATATAATTTATAAAATATATTTATTAATTAATATATTTTATTAAATCCAATTTTAAATATGTTGTGAAGCTAAACTAAACATAATATACAAGTAGATTAATAATATTCAATTAATAAAGTTAATAAACAGTAAAAGAAAAATTCGAAATTAATACTATTACAAAAAATGTAAATTTCTCCATAAGTATTATACTTACACCCATAAAAATTAATATGTAGGTAGTTTCGACCTTGCTGAACAATTTTCAATTAATTTAGAAAGTCGATTTCATTTGACCAAAGAGGTGTAATTACGCTCTGAAGTTGTAAACGGAGAAACGAAAAATTCGGAAGTTAGTACCGTTATGAAAAATGCACTTTTCTCCATAAGTATTATACCCACACTCATGAAAATTAATATATAAGTAGTTTCGACCTTGCTGAACAATTTTCAATTAATTTAGAAAGTCGATTTCATTTGACCAAAGAGGTGTAATTACGCTCTGAAGTTGTAAACAGAGAAATGAAAAATTCGGAAGTTAGTACCGTTATGAAAAATGCACTTTTCTCCATAAGTATTATACCCACACTCATGAAAATTAATATACAGACCCCTATACTAATTTACCGGATTTCATGAAATTTACTTAGTAATATATAGTAAAATTGATGATTTTCACGATGCATAAAAGTTTATGAATTTTTAATAAAATTCAGCCAGAATTTTTTTTTAAAAAAGCCAATCAATTATAATTGTTAAGTATTAAAACAAAAAAGAAAAATTTTTAAAATATAAAAAAATTTTCTCATTGCAAAGTATAAGCAATAATTTTTCTATATGTTTTTTTTATTTTTACATATAAAATTATCTCATCCATTACTTTACAAATAAATATTTCTTTGCATTTTAAAATAGAATATTTCTGATTACATTTTTAAAAACTATAATCAATTGGCTTTCAAATAAAAAAAATTTGGCCAAATTTTATTGCGAACTTGTAAATTTTTATGCAGCCTGAAAATCATCAATTTTACTATATATTACTAAGTAAATTTTATGAAATCTGGTAAATTAGTGTAGGGGTCTGTATAAGTAGTTTTGATCCAGGGACGATGATTTTATGCTATCACATAATATCACATTAAACGCATAATTATGCAATAAATGCATAATTTAAGTTGATCGCGTCATAAAATCACATAATTTAATTTATCACATATCAGAATGCATAATCCGCAGTTATCCGCAGTATAAAATTT